TTCGTCCTCCGTGTCAGAGGCAGTGACTCCCAACGAACTAATTTTAAGATGCTGTAACCGAAAATAGCCATGCCAGGCCTGACGCGGGAGGTGGGTGCGGGGGAGACTGCCCGCTGGGGAGCGGGGCCCAGAGGGGTGGGTGGTGTCTGCTGAGGGTCAGGTGGGCGCAGGAGGGCCCCCGCTGGCCAGGATTTCCAGGGAAGGGGGCGGGGGAGGGCACGGAGTGGGGCGGGGAGGGGATTTGGAACTTCCAAATATCCTGGCCACGGGAGATGTCCCACGAATCACAAATCGAAGATGCGCGCATGTCCAGCCCCCTAAGGACAGAGGCTCTGGCTGCGGCCTTGGCGTCTTCTGGGACAGGGTCGCTCCCCGCGTGCAGGTGGGAATCGTTAGGGCCAGCACGTTCCGGGAACGACATCCCACTCGCTCTCCCAAGGGCGGCCCCGCGTGCAGAGACCAGAACAGTCTGAGCAGCTGAGAACACTCGGGCCAAGCACGGAGGCTCCCTCCTGCCCCTGCTTCGCCCTGGGAGGGGGAGTGAGAGGGGCTCTGGCGTTTTTCGGAGAGCGGGGTGCTCCGGGACCCACTGCCAGGGCGGCCCGGGGTGCAAGCCACATCTGGCAAGGCTCTGGGTGGCCTGGGGCGCTGCCTCAGCCCCCTGGGAGGGTCCAGTTCCAGACGAAAGTGGAGAAAGTGGCTTCAGGAGATCCCAGAAACTTGGGGGTGGGGGTGTGCGTGCGCCCGTGCGTGTGTGGTGGCGGGGCCTTCCCAAAGCTGAGGGCTGCTGCCCTGGCAGGGGACGGGGCCTGGCATTATGTTCAAGGAGAGAAGGCCAGGAGACAGGAGGGAAAGAAGGAGAAGGAGGGTTTCCACAGCGCCTTCCTGCATCTCCCTGCGGGCTCGCCGCCCCTTTCCGTTCTACCCTCTTTCATTCCTTCTTCCTCTTCCTTTCTTCCTCCCTCCCTCCCTCCCTTCCTTCCTTCCTTCCTTCCTTCCTTCTTTCCTTCCTTCCTCCCTTCCTCCCTTCCCTCCCTCCCTCCTTCCTTCCTTCATTTCCTTCCTTCCTTCCTTCCTTCCTTCCTTCCTTCCTTCTTCCTTCCTTCCTTTCTTTTCTTTCTTTCTCTCTCTTATTTTCTCTCTTCTTTCTTTCTTTCTTTCTTTCTTTCTTTCTTTCTTTCTTTCTTTCTTTCTTTCTCTCTCCCTCCCTCCCTCCCTCCCTCCCTCCCTCCCTCCCTTCCTTCCTTTCTTTCTTTCTCTCTTATTTTCTTTCTTTCTTTCTTTCTTTCTTTCTTCCCTCCCTTCTCTCTCTTCTTCCTCCCTCCCTCCCTCCTTCCTTCCTTCCTTCCTTCCTTCTTTCCTTCCTTCCTCCCTTCCTCCCTTCCCTCCCTCCCTCCTTCCTTCCTTCATTTCCTTCCTTCCTTCCTTCCTTCCTTCCTTCCTTCCTTCTTCCTTCCTTCCTTTCTTTTCTTTCTTTCTCTCTCTTATTTTCTCTCTTCTTTCTTTCTTTCTTTCTTTCTTTCTTTCTTTCTTTCTCTCTCCCTCCCTCCCTCCCTCCCTCCCTCCCTCCCTTCCTTTCTTTCTTTCTCTCTCTTATTTTCTTTCTTTCTTTCTTTCTTTCTCTCTCCTTCTTTCTTTCTTTTTTTCTTTCTCTCCTCCTTCCTTTCATTTTTGAAATCTTAAACCCCATTTCTGGCTTGCATTTGGTAGGATTCCTGTTCTGGCTTTTATTAAAAACAGATTTTATGCGGTCAGAATTCTCCCTCTAAACAGGCACTTTAAGCAGGCGTAGGCTCCTGACCGTGGTTCTCTCTCTCTCTCTCTCTCTCTCTCTCTCTCTCTCTCTCTCTCTCTCTCCCTCTCTCTCTCCCTCTCTCCCCCCTCCCACTCCCTCCCTCTCTCTCTCTCTCTCTCTCTGGTGACCCCCTCATCACAAAGACCTCGGGGAGCACCCTCCCAGAGCACCGAGCTGGCCCGAAACTTGAAGGCTCAGCACAAAACCGCCAACTTCCCTCTTTCCCTCTGAACTCTTGTTTCTGTTTTCCATTTGAGACTCTTGGCCAGGCAAGTCAAGTCTGGCTTGAACTTGAGAATGTTCTAGAAGTTTTGAAAAACACAACTGCTCTCTCATACATTCCCTTCGCCCCGGACCCCCGTCAACCACCTAGCGACTCCCCTTCTCCAGTCCCGAGTTTGCTGAATCCTGTCCCGTGTGCGAGCCTCAAGCTGGGAAACACCCAGGATGACCCTGCGCCCCCCACCCCGCCCCCTGAACTAGCAGGTCAGCTCCCCACAGCGTCTTTCCCTCCCCGAGAGCACTGGCGACCCCCAAGCTTAGGAGCCCGAAGACACAGCAGCATGCAAGCAGGCAACACATGCCCCCGGGACGGGCCCCCAATGCCCCTTTCCCCACTGCTCTGGTTCTTTCTGACAGCAAAACAGACAAAGTGCCCAGCGCCAGGGGCCGGGGGCGGGCTGCCCCCTCCCACCCCTGCAGGCACCTGAGTCCTGACACCATCCTTGTGTCCTGCCTGCAGGGAAGCTCCTTGGGAATGTGTGTGTGTGTACACACGAGTGCGTGCTTGTGTGTGTGTGTGTGTGTGTGTGTGTGTGTGTGTGTGTTCTATAGCAGTAAGGGGAGATATATGTCTCCCTCTCTGTCTTTCTGTCCTCTGTACCCCGCAGAAATATTATTATTTCATTTTTGCTTTGGACAACCTGGCAGGCCACCAAATGTAACCTGCCCACACGGCAGAGTCTGGCAAACTCCCCGTGGCATCCCCAATATGCCAAATACCAGTAACAATGATGGGTCTCATTCTCCTAACCCTGGAAGAGCCTTGAATGTGGCACTTTTTAAAAAAAAAAAATCTCAGGGCTAAGACGAAGGAGACGTTACTGGGGCCTGCTCGAGGCAATCGACGAACAACAGGATGGTCGTGATCGTGACTGTACCCCAGAGCCAGTGACTGGACACTTTTCTGCTGTCGTCACTGGAAGAAAGTGACCAACTGCCGGGGATTGGGCAGAGGGACGCGGGTGCCCCAGGTCGCAGAGGGTCCCTGGAGGGCAGCCTGGGCCAGACACCCAGTCTTACCTCCCCTACACAGGGGACAAGGCCCATCTCCGGGGAGGCTGGGGCGGGGGGAGGAGCCCCTCATAGGCCTAGTCTGCAGAGGTGCACAGACGGCCCCTCCTATACAACGGAGCTCAGTTCTGGAGAAATGAGAATCCATCTCTCTCTCTCTCTCTCTCTCTCTCTCTCTCTCTCCCTCTCTCTCCCTTTCTCTCCCTCTCTCTCCCTCCTCTCTCTCTCCCTTTCTCCCTCCCATCTCCCTCTCTCTCTCCCTTTCTCCCTCCCATCTCCCTCTCTCTCTCCCTCTCTGTCTCTCTCGTTCCCTCTCTCCTCTCCCTCTCTCCCCTTCTCTCCCTGTCTCCCTCCCTCCTCCATCTCTCTCTCTCACACTCATACTCTCTCTGCCTGTCTCTCTCCCTCTCTCCCTCTTTTACTCCCTGTCTCCCTCTTTCTCTCTCTCTCCCCCTTTCTCTCTCTCTCTCTCCCTCTCCCTGTCTCTTGTGCACATACACATTCATATACACACGTGTGCATGTGCACACACACACACGTGTACCCACATACACATACACACACTCGCACGCATGCACACTCTTGAGTATGCATGCACACCCCCACGCATACATACACACGCATACACACATATGCACACACACACACACTTGCACACGCTCACACACTCACACTCACTCAGAGATTTGAGAGCACCTATCTCTCCCTTTGATGAGGACTTTGCTTTTTGGGTCCCACCCAGCGATGCTCAGGGCTGACTCTTGGCTCTGCATTCAGGAATCACCCCTGGCGGTGCTCGGGGGACCCTATGGGATGCTGGGAATCGAACCCGGGTTGGCCGTGTGCAAGGCAAACGCCCTACCCACTGTGCTATGGCTCCAGCCTCCTTGATGAGGACTTTGAAGGGTACCAAGCATGACAGTGCTTTCCAAGGGAGCAAACGGCCCAAGTCCTTAGCCCGCCGGGTTTGGGCGACCACCTTTGGGGCTGGTCCCACCCAATGGGGGAGGCAGACACAGTCCAGCAGGTCCCCCAACCAAGGCCCTATTTAAGAGCCTTGTCAGGCTCCCTGAGCTCTACACCCCACGTCTTGAACAGGGCCACCAGGGGGTGGGGGCGAAGTCCCTTCCTGTCTGCAGCCCACGAGGGAAGGATTTGCTTTGTGCAATGTCCAATGACTCAATCCCATGAATCAGATGAATGAAAGACTCGACTTGCTGTCAACTGGCCAACCTTGGGCCTTCCCCAAACCCCCGATTCAGGGGGGTGGGGACCCCCCACCGTGTCCTATGATTTTCAACATTTCAGATTATTCTGAGACGATTCCGACTAACTGAAGTGGCGGTGGTCGGAATGGGGACCGACCTTAAAGCTGCCTTTATAGGGACCATCTTGTCCCTCGGGGAGAAGGTGCTGGGACTCCAGGAACCTGAGCTTCTGCCTCCTGGATTCCCTAACAAGCGTGGCAGGCTGCCCGGCTGTGTTTCAACGGGCCTCCGTGAAAACTAATAAGACGGGACTGCAAAGGTGGTTCAGAGGGCAGGTAAGATACTCTCCTTGGTGTCCCCGGAAGCGGCCACTTGGCTAGCCACTTTCTCCCTCACGGCCTACACAGGGCTGCCCCTAGGGTCACTCCTGCAGACTCAGTTTGCTTTGGCACCATTACTCTGTTTGTTAAGACTTGGAAGTGGATCTCTGGCCCGCCAGCCCCCTCCCCTGCCCCGAGAAAATTACAAACATGGATGAGACCGTCTTTGCGATGTTCTGTTCCAGGCTTTGTCTGCCATGCAGTGAGAAGAGAACCGAAGAGCACCCACCCCCCACCCAACAAGCACACAAAACCCAAAACAACCCCCAAACACTGCTCTCCCCGCCCGCCCCCTCCGCTTTCTGTTCTCTGCAGGACACTTACCTGGGGACACTGGGAGGGGCCCTCGTGGGCCGAGACGGAACTTGTGGAGGGGCCCCTAGCGAGTCGCTGCTGTTGGGGAAGGGGGGCAAAGGGCCCGGGCGGAATGGAACGGGGGGAGCCCCCGAGTGGGGGCCAGGAGAGGGGATGGCCGGAGCTGGCCCGCGGCTGGAGGCTGGCCGAGGGATCGGGGTGTTCAGCGCCGGCTTCCTTTGGTTGGTGGGGCTCGGAGGGGGCGACCTGGTGAGAGAGGGGGGACCAAGCTTTGCACTTCCTGCTTCCGTCCCGCGTGGCCTCTAAGATGCGGACGCGACCCAGGACTCTGATGGAGCGATGGGGGTGCAGGGGAGGTAGCTAAAAGGGAAAGGAACTTCCCTGACCCACCAGCCCTCTGGGCAAGCAACGAAGAAGGTTCTGGAAACACTGTGATTTAGTATGCTGGGGCCCACGTCTGGGGGTGCTTCAAGGGCCATCGTGGGGTACTGGGGATCGAACTGCAAGCCTTGGCACGTGTGAGGCATCTGCCCTACCACTTGAGGTGTCCCGCCACCCCCCACCTCTGCGCCCCCTTCTGTCCCCCGCCCCTGTGCTTCCTTCTTAGACTCTGTTCTGTGGGAGCTTCTCTACAATCCCTTCTTGCTACTTGATCCCCACATTCCAGAACTTCCTCTCTTATCGTAATCGTCATGTGACTGGGTAAGCTCTCCACCCCCTCACTAGCTCCCCCCGCCCCTTTCATCGTCACCCTGCCGGATGGCAATCCTTTTCACGGGCTGTAGAGTATTCCACTTGGGGCGACTGTGTGCTTGGGTTTGAAGGGTGCTGGGAACTGGCTTCCTACCTGCGGGAGTGAGGGATCCAGGAGTCGTCCACAGGTGGCGGCGCAGGGGTGAAGGTGGTGGCGGTATTGATGTCGCCGACGATGCCCAGGGCCTCCTTGAGAGCCTGATACATGCGCAGCATCTCGTCGCGACGCTGGGCCTGCTCGGCCGACTCCTCCATCAGCGTGTTCTGGTCCTCCGAGGAGTACAGCTGCGCCAGGAGCTCGGAGTTGATGAAATCTTTCACCTGCCGGACCGCAGGACCACAGGGCAGTGAGCCTCGGCGCTCAAGGTCCAGCGCTTCATTCCTGCATTCTCCCCCCCAACCCCAGGTCCAGGTTCTGGTTTCTGGGGTCCCCCAGGCTGCTGGCTCCCCTTAGGAGTTCATTCCCACTATCCCCTCTCCCTGCACTGGGTTGGGTCTGCCCCAACCCTGTGGAATGATGGTGACACCTCCCGCATGTCACTGTCATCTCATAAGAGGAATTTGTACCAACGACTGACTAGGAAACACAGAACCACCTATACTTATTTATGACAATCAAATAAAAAAAAATTCAGGCTCGGGTCACCTGGCCGAGGTCACACAGGACCGAGTTCAAGCACAAATCTGGTGTTTAGTGGGTCTCTCCATTCCTCAAATAAGCATAGCGCACTTTGGGCCTTTATAGATTGATTGATTGGTTGATTGATAGCTTTTTGGATCACACCTGGGCGCCGTGTAATCCCATCAATGGCCAAGACTCAGAGACTATAAAACCCAGCTCCTGGAAGAGAACAGCGCAGAGTCTCCTGCCCCCGCACCTGGCTGTCCTCACCAGGGCCCCTTGGAGGGGAACAGGTTGAGTTTTCCTCCCCGCCCTGACCAGGGCTCTGGCAGCCGAAGACCTCCAGAACCAGCCACCACCATGCTGAGACCACTCTCCGCACACATGAAGGTACCGGCAGAGGAACAAAGACACGCGGGTCCCGGGGTTGAGATCTCCAAGCCTACTCAGATCGGGGCTGAGCATCCTCCACCCAGATCCTCCAAATTCCAGTAGGTGGGGGTCACACCCACCACCTGGCCCCCTGGCGCCATGTAATCCCATCAACGGTCAAGATCCAGAGACTATAAAACCTAGCTCCCGGAAGCATGCAGCCACATTTGCGGCCGCGCGATATCTTATTATGACATCTTATTATCTCATTCCTACTTTGGACAAAGTGGCAGGCTACCGAATGTAACCTGCCCACACGGCAGAGTCTGGCAAACTCCCCGTGGCGTACCCAATATGCCAAATACCAGTAACAATGATGGGTCTCATTCTCCTAAAGAGCCTTGAATATAATCTCAGGGCTAGGATGAAAGAGACGTTACTGGGGCCTGCTCGAGGCAATCAACAAATAACCTGGCAATGCCCAGGAGTTCACTCACGAATCACTCCTGACGGTGCTCAGGGGACCCTACGGGATGCCGGGGATCGAACCTGGGTTGGCTGCGTGTAAGGCAAACACTTTCCCCGCTGTACTATCGCTCTGGTCCCCACTATGGCTTTTAGAAGAGATGGTTTCTCCAGAAGTGTCTCTATTTTACACGGTTAAACTAAGCATCCCAGTGAACCCAGGACCAGAAGAAATAACTGACTCGGGTTTGGTTCGTCTTCCTTTTCCTGTTAAGTGAGAGAGCTCAGAGCCAGAGCCGCGTTAATGACCGTGGCCATAAAACATGTGACTCGGCCCTGCCACAGAGGCAGGGTGGGGTGGGGGGTGGGGTGGGGGGTGGGAGGGATACTGGGACCCGTGGTGGTGGAAAATGGGCACTGGTGAAGGGATGGGTACTTGATCATTGTATAATTGGAACCCAAGCACAAAAATTCATAAGTCTACAACTGTACCTCATGGTGTTTCACTAATAAAAATTTAAAAATAAAAGTGATTTGGAAGAGCGGGACAACACACAGCTTCAACCCACCCAACAGCTGAGCTCATACATCGCTTCCCGGAGGTGAAATCCCAACTGCTCTCGGCCTATGAGATTGGAAACCCAGAGCGATGCACACGTGGGGGTCAGCAAAGAGACAAGGAGTTTGGGAGTGGGGTGGGGGGCTCTGTGGTAGGGCAGGGGCCACAGCTGCGGGAAGGGAACTTGGGCCAGATCACCTGGGCCCAGATGGGACCACCTCGCGTGCCAAGGGAATGCGTTTGAACTGGATCCACTTGGCAAGGGGGAGCAAGGGGAGGCTTTGAGCGAGGGAGCAGAACAGTCAGAGAACACTGGGCGGAATTACTTGGGCTGTGGTTGAAAGATTCTGCAGGGGTGACGGCTGGAGAAGTTGACAGATGGCTGCAGGTGGCTGATGAGATGGAGGTTGGCTTCGCTAGTGACGGACAGGCGAGAGAGGTGGAAATCGTGTCACGGAGGACAAGCTGCTGGACTGGGTGTGGTCTTATTTATTTTTTTGCTTTTTGGGTCACACCCAGTGATGCTCAGGGGTTGCTCATGATTCTGCACTCAGGAATCACTCCTGGAGGTGCTCGGGGGACCATATGGGATGCTGGGATCAAACCCGGGTTGGCTGCATGCAAGGCAATCGCTCTCCTCTCTGTGCTATCGCTCCAGCCCCTGGGTGTGGTCTTTATACGCACTGTCCATCGTCCTCCTGTTGTTCATCGATTTGCTCGAGCAGGCACCAGTAACGTCTCCACGGTGAGACTTGTTGTGACTGTTTTTGGCATATCGAATACGCCACGGGGAGTTTGCCAGGCTCTGTCGTGTGGGCGGGATACTCTTGGTAGCTTGCCGGGTTCTCTGAGATACCGACAAGCTACCGAGAGTGACAGAGGAATCGAACCCAGGTCGGCTGTGTGCAAGGCAAACGCTTTACCCGCTGTGCTATTGCTCTAGCCCTTGTCTTTATATATATATATATATAAAATTATAATTATTATTAGTTACAACAAAGTCTCCAATGGAGACGTTACTGGGCCCGCTCGAGCAAATCGACGATCAACGGGAGGGCCTTTACCTTTACCTTATTATAAAAAAGAAACATGGAGATTATTTACAGGATGGAAGATTTCAGAGCTTCGCTGGAATACACAGCTTCATGGGCCGCTGCTTCAACAGCGGTATTTCAATCTACGAACTTTCCAGGAATGTCACCGTCTCTAACACAAGAAATAATCGTTGTCATCCAAAACCACTTTGGGGCTGCCTTATTCTGGTAGAAGAGCTCGACCTCCAACTTTGACACAGGGTGAATCTCTCCACCCTTCTCTTTTAGCGCCTGAACCATCTTCAGCGACTGTAGCTTGCAACGCCTTTCCTTGAGATTCCTCAGGAAGTGTAATGCCTCCTTCAGCTGCTCTTTTCTTTTCTATTTATTTATTTATTTATTTATTTTTGGGTCATACCCGGCGATGCTCAGGGGTTCCTCCTGGCTCTGCTCTCAGGAATCACTCCTGGCGGTGCTTGGGGGACCCTATGGGGTGCTGGGAATCAAACCCGGGTTGATTGCGTGCAAGGCAGACGCCCTTCTCGCTGTGCTATTGCTCTGGCCCTCAGGGGTTCAACTAACACACAGAGCAGAGAAGAAATGTTCTAAATGCCTGTCCAGCTCTGCCGCCGACTGTCACCTCCCGGACAGGTGCTGCTGAATGGAGGGACCCGTGGGTGCGGTTTTGATGTGAAGGGCAAGGATGGAGAAGAGGCACATTCCCACCCTACAGGAAGTAGTGGGGGTTTGATGAGCAGCGGAGCTGAATATCCAATGTCAAGAGGGAGAGCTAGGGGCTAGAGCGAGGAGGAAAGACAGGGAGAGGCCGCCCCTTTTCTTGCAGTTAGCGCCCCTTGGAACATGCTTGCAGGAAACCCCCTCTGAGGGATGATCACTGTCCCATCTTCTTGGGCGGGGCGCGGGGAGTGCTCAATGAGGCAAAGTAGCTCAGACCCAGAAGCAGAGCTCTGTCCTCATGGCGGCCACCAGCCAGGCTGAGCGCCCTTGAAGCTTTCCATCTTTCTAGAGCATCACTTCGAAAGAATCAGTTAAACCCCGTTTCCAAGAAGCCCCTTCCAAGAACAGAGTTAAAGCAGATCTGAGCTAAGCGGCAGCTGTCAAACAAACCATGGAAGAAAACAAAACAAAAATCCCCAAATCGAAAAGCGGAGGGGTGCATGGCCATGGCTTCAGAGGCAAAAGGACTTAATCCAGAGCCCGGCAGCTTGCGGCAGAAAAGCGAATGGACCATGCGTTAAACTAAGGCGCCATGCCTCCCTGGGAGGGAAAGGGTGTTGCTCCCTTCCACCTTTTCTCCACCCTCCTGCCCCCTGCTACCCTCCCCCCCGGCAGCAAGGTGGCCACTGACTCAAAGCTTATGGGAAAGCCAGTTATGAGCTGGCGGTGACGGGGCAACTGCAGTCTCATGGGAAGGGGGGCGGTACTGACCCGTCCTTCACACCCTACCAAGGTCCTGAGTTGCCCTCCACGAGTGGCTCTCCGGCACAGCCATAACACCAGACGCACAGAAACCAATCTTGTAATTATCTGGCTCTTTGCAGAAATCCAACATTATATAATTCTCATAACCAGCTACAGAAAAAACAAAGTATTTCACAATGCCTTTTCAGCAATTCTGATCATTGGGGGGGAAATTCTAAACAATAATGGTGCATCTTTTGTCGAAATAATGAATGTAATCAATGTAGAGAAGAGTTAAGTGGAAATCATCTGCCTCACAGGCATTGGGAGGGGTGCGAAGGGGGTATATTGGGGTTCTTGGTGGGGAAAAATGAGTACTGGTGAAGGGAGAGGTGTTTGATCGTTGTACGACCAAGACTTAAACCAGACAGCTTAGTAACTTTTCCCACAGTGATTCAATAAATAAATATAAGATGAAAAATAAATAAATTAAATAAAACTATGAAAAAAAAAGTAAGGTGGAGTTCATGCCCAATTCAATCAGCTAATCAGTGGCTGAATAAATAGCAGTACTTCTACATAAAAAGAAATAAGAAAGAAAGAAAAAAAAAGCAGAGGGACCTGTCTCAGTGCACTGATGCAGAATGGACCGTGAATTAGTTCGGGCACCTTGAAATGCTGCACCCCGGAACTTGCAGCCGAAGAGGGAGATGTGTTCTGGCACCTGTGGGGATTCTTGGGGTGGGAGGTGTGAGAGATTAATCCATCAAGGCCAGCGAGGACAGATGCGGAGACTCAGTATCTCTATAGCCCCGTAGAGATGAAATGAGAGAACCTTTGTTTCGAT